TGCAACTGGTTTTGGGGTAGGTGGGCAGCATTTGAAAAAACAAAATTTGAGAAGCTCAAGTGATATGACTTTATTATGACTTCTTTTCGTCTTCTCTCAATAATGGCTCCCAAATCAGTTTATTATTTCAACATATTTGAATAGTTATTGGTGTAACTTTTATCATAATAAACAGGCTGACCTCCCAACAATGATGTTGTTGTATGCTACATACTCCCCCACCTGCAAAAACATGCGGGAATGTTCCATCGACAGTGTGGTCAACACTGAAGTCTTTGTCACAAAATCGAGAGCGAAAATTCCTTCAGCCTTGGACTTGGCTCAATACAACTTAAAAAAAACCACAGAAAAAAGGGGAAACATAAAGGAGTGCCTTCTGTGAATTTTAGATCTTTTTGAAGGCAAACAAGTGTGGTTTCTGGACTCCTATAGAGATCCTCCTAAGCACGACTGGTGTTACAAAGCAAGCAATGTACTTTCTGGTGATTGCATTTACTGTTAATCACAAGATCTTGACATGTTCCCAGGGTGGTTCAATTAAGTTTGATATTTTTCTGCGACATTCCGAGCTGCCCACCTGCCTGGAGGTGTTATGCAATTACAAGCAACCTGTCTAAGATGAAAAGTGTGGGCCTACTGGTGCCTTCGTAATATTTTATGTTCATGTTCAAGAAAAGGTACATGTATGTGCATTTTTTATGACATGCATGTGAGCTACCGGCAATATAGACAGATTTCATAATTCATATCATTTCAGATTCAACAAAATATTTGGTTGAGCAACGTTTTCAATTGATAAATGTACTTCAATTGTATAAAACTTTAATGTGAGTCAGTGCAAATGACACTTCTTTTTAGTTATAGAATTTTAGAAAAATGTGAGTTTTAAAGGTAAAAAAATAAGATAGGTCTTAGGGCCTCACGTTGGGGTTTAAAAAAATTCAAGCTTCATCTTCTATGGAAATGAAAGGTCAAATAACTTGCACTACTTGTATGCAACATGGTGGTCATCACCCTCTACTGATCTGGAAAAACGAACAAGTAATTTGCATAATGACTAACTGTTAAATTAATTAGAATTACTTAATAGCCTTACGCGTTCATGCTAATTGTTTCCTATTAAACTTAAGAAGGTGAACAAACTTTCCATGCGGTTTGCAAATGCCCAATTTTTTATTAATTTTTTTTTTCCTGGAATGAATACCAGAGCCTAGGTCTGCGCTGATAGTCAATATTAAAAACCCTCATTAACCACAGACACTGTGTGGGTTACCGACGCAGGAAACCGGTTTATGCATATTGTTTGTTCAGCGTGTTTATAGCGTCTCGTTTTCCATGGCCTTTCGCCTGTACTAAATTGCTTAGCATGGATTTATTGATCACAAATTGTCCATTTGTCCTCACGTGGTCTGGGAGATAAACATTCAAGGATGGGTCAGATTAACGGATGTTTCTTTCAAAATATTTCTCTCGACCGTGCAACTTGCTAAATCAGGATAATTTAAGCCACTTTTACTGGAAAATTCCTCAACAACAAAAAACTAACAATATACACTAGAAACTGTGACTAGAAACAATTAAGGCACATTACTTTGAGGAGTTTTACTGGATAACTTTAGAAATTAAAAGTTTATTTCTCAATCAATATTATCTAAGACATCCTATTTCTGAGACAAATTTGAGTATATGGTAATATTACTACATTGTATAGCATTTTTTTTTGGGGGGGGGGTTTAGAATTGAAAATCAAGCTATGAATAAGAGTTCTTGAGGGACAATTTATCCCCGAGTTACAGCAAAAGAAAACGTAGTTTCAGATCAGCCTTGTGAAGCAATTTTTGAAAAGCTCTCTAGAAAATGAGTTGCGATTAGTTGTTTTGGCCATCCAATCACGTTCCAAGTTAATTCAATCATGAATTTCGGAAGCGACCAATGGCATCACTCGTCACCTCCGCGGTCCAAACAGGGTGACAAATACCTGGCCAGACACGCTGACGGACATGGGGTTACATGGACATGACAAGGGGGCTGACCCGGGGGTCACACAGAGGTGTGTTATTTGTGAAAGTACAGACAGGGCGGTACAAATATGCTCATAATTAATGTGGTATGCTCATAAAAGTTGTTTACTGCACTATAAATCTTAAATTTCTCAAAATTGGATGTTAATCCACTGATGAAGTCTTGCGGCTGAGGTCAAGTTCCCTGCTTCATTGCCTACTTTTCAACAGGTATAGGGAAGGGAACCTGTTTAAATGTATGTCTTTACGGTTTAATTGTATAGTTATTTGCGGAAAGTTTGCAGTCTAGCTACATGTAAGTGTGGAAACACTGAGTCATGAACTAAAAATAAATTGATTTAAGGCAAAATGGGGATTTTTCTCGTAGATAAGTGGAAAAAAGGAAACTTTAAATTTGATTTATTGGTGCAGAGGGATCCCAAAAAATATTGACAGTAACAACTAAATGTGGGGAACAGCACTTCAGACCTTTCTTTCACAATGCTTTCATATACTTTTTTTTTAACAAGGCGCAATAAACATTGTGTAGCATTTCCATGGCTTAATTGTAATTATTTATCAGTTTATTTGTTGTTTACTTGTTTACTTATTTTCTTGTTCACTTGTTTTTGTTTGCCTTAAAGTCTACAACCAGGTTAAATTTCTCACTACAAGCCCATTGCAGACTATTGTCCCATTTGAGTACTTCTGTGTACAACCCCACCGCTGCTATCTTTTGGTCTCTGAATGCACCGCGCATTCCCATACCCCACAATGCTTTTTCAAAAAAGATAGTCCAACGTTATCACAGAATACATGTACACAAGACAATTGAGTGATAAGAGCACTGGGCAATGGTCAACCATAGAGCAAGGATCGATGGGTCAACAAGTACTTGCTGAGTGCAGTTTATACAGGTGATATGCAATTGTTGGGGGAATATAACAAGTGGGTATTACAGAGGTTATGTTATTAATCGTTTTGAAATGGTCGTTGATTTGTGCAAGTATTCAAGAACGGTATGCGGGGACTGTGCTGTGAAAATTTGGGCTCGTAATGTTGAATAGTGAGAGGAAACTACAATACTACTCAAAATTGTTGGGAAAAAAATCAAAAACTTTTTGCATTTAATGACTAGTATGTGTAGTTACTTAGCAAGATTACGAGTAATATCTTTGCTGCTGAAGTAAAACTCCTCTGTGAGTTTCTAGCCATGACGGGAGAATTTTCTGAACGCTGCTTACCACAAACATTATTCTTGCATGTGTACGTGTCTGTCTGTCATTCACCAAGAATTTTCACCGACCATTTGAAGATGAAAGATGAGACATCGTAAGTAATCATGCACAGGTCAAACGAAGGGCAGGGCAGGTTCTTAAGGGAAGTTAAGTCACTCTTTGGGTAAAATGTGAACGACGATGTCTTCCATTAATCTGATGGTGGAGCCCAATTCTACTGTCACAGCAATGCACAATGTTCCTATTTCCGATTTTATTTCAGACGGACGTCCACAAATATGAGTCAGATGAGAAGTCTTTGTAATGACAGAGAAATGACATTGCGGTATGGTTGCATATCCGTGACAACAAATAAGAAATGACATCGCGGTACGGATGCGATATCCGTGACAACAAATAAGAAATCAAATTTCTACAGACGAGTAGAGACGCACATGTTTCTTGGGGTTATAGTATGTTCAGTGTAGCCAAACCATCAATCAAATAACAACATGGAAGGAAGGGATAGTTTTTTTTTTTATCCTCATTTCCGCAGCTTCAAAGGTGAGGTCCCAGGACAAAAGCGATAAAACGAACATAGATAATGTGTTCACATAAATGTCAATCCCATGCTGCGCGCATACATTCTTAATCCATTTCCTGAGAATTATGAAGGACAACTCTATTAATTCAAAGCCTTCATACATTTGCTGGTAGTAATGAAAGTGGCATGTGGTTTACCAAAACGATTAGCGAAGAATTTTAAAAGGGTTTGTTTTACTGTACATGTCTCTAAAAGGTACTTTTACAGACATTCCATGCCATTGGGTTTCTTAACTGTATTTGCCTTACACATTTTAATATATATTCAAAATTTTAATACCCAACCACTTTTCACCAAGCAGTCATTTTTCAACAGGCAATTATACGATTTTTTGGTTATGTCCGTGAGAAAAGGGACCGACACAGAAGCAGTCTGTCTTTTTGAATGGTTCCACAAAAAAAATGAGAAAAAATTGCTTCCAACTTCAAAAATAACATTCTGTATTTTTTTCATCATTAAATGATAATCTTCAGATGTCATTTGGTCATTTTAGAACCACATTTCACAAATGTGAACAAATCCTTCTTTAGATAAAAAAAACAATGTTTCCACAGGCTCAATAAACTCTTGAATGCTTCTGACACATCGCCACTGCCATATATTAATTTTTTTAATACCATTTTTCCTGCTAGTTATCAAAATGTTCACATATTAAACAAATGTCGTATCGCTCACAATACTAACCCTGAAATCCAAACAGACACTTAGCTTGAGACAAGCGTCTTCAATTCACTGCAAGTCATCTTCAATTAACCCCAAACAGGATATGCACGGGACAAAAAAACGACCCAACGACTAATGATTTTATAAGAACATTTTGAAAAACCAGCTATTTTCCGCTGCGAAGGACAGACCACATGACCCTAAGGGTAGATGACAGCGCTTGTCTTGATTCCACCGTCCCACCTGTTCGACAGTTGGCATCCAAGGAAACCGCAAATTATTTCCTATTAAGAGATGCCCTCGCCAGAATGGTACAAATACAACCTGTCCGTCCTCATCGCAAAGAGGCACAAATCTCAGAGATGTTCCACTACTGTTGTTTTTGCAAACAATTTTAATAACGTAGGACAAACTAAAGTAACAAAATAACATTTTCAATTCTTGAAATTGTCAGACTGATTAATACTGCCTAAAATGAAGACATTTCTCTATTCACTTTATGTAAGAGATACTCACCTTGTCCTGAATACTCAAGTCCTTCATATCTCGGTTTTGCAAAGCATGACACAACCATCTTGAGAGTTTTCAACTTTCCCATCCTCCGATATCAAACCATGATCAATCCAATTTTCCGTTCGTCAATCAGTTGACACAAGTTCCCCCGAAGACACCTGTCCGTTTATTCTATGACTGCTAAATATTTTGGCCAAGTCAGCCTAGCATGTGTTATCCAACGAGCGCTGTGATTGGGTACTATTTGAGTGTCTGTTTAGTCCTTATTTAACCCGGCGTGACGATCCACGCTTATTAACCTCCGGGTTCACCAATCCATCATCTCAGAAACTTCCCCTTTCTAATATTTGGCACGTCCTGGCATAGACGACAGTAGTGACTCAAAAGTATTAACAATAGACAAGAATGCGATGTCAGTGACGTGCACGGCCGTGCGTTGTGCCCAAGAAGAGCTTACTGGAAAAGCAGAATAAAAGCAATGACGACAGGTGATTTACTGAGCAACTAGAATACACAGCAGAGGCATCGCAGACAGACAATGTAGACAGGTATGCTGCATACAGGTGTAGACCACTCATGGACTGGTCCATTCCACAAAATGGGTAGGATGGTAACCACAGAGGGGTTGAATCTGAAACAAACTCATAGCCACATCTTACATTGCCCACCCTTTTGTACAATGAAACAGGCGATACGCCACTAGCTATACATTAATACCAAAATTAACACAAGATGTAAACTTTCACGCCTGTTACTGGCATGATAATCCTAAAATATGATACTGATATGAAATGATGTAAAGTCAATGGATTGGGCTACTGGCTGAACATACATGTTTACATTGGTTCTGTTAATCTTTATCTGCAAGATAATCGTATGTGCACATCAACAGATGTCAAACATTCAAAAGATAAAAAAAACATACAGAACTGCAGATATATAAAATAAACTCTGCTGGCGCCGGATCTGGTTGACATGGCAACCGGCATTAATTCTACCAATATTTTTCCTTCCAATTGGACAAAATGTCACAATTACCACAAGGTTTTGATTGTTTGAGCCATATTACTGAAGTGTGGATGTTTATATCATTGACTTTGTTTAGTTTTCCATCATTTAGAAAATACAATGCAGCTATTTAGGATAGGTTTATTCAGACCAGAAAACTTTTGGGACCCTCAGGATTTTTTTAAAACGATAACTATTTAATAGGAACTTTATTGTCCAAACCAATTCATACACCCACGTCAATATCTTCTGAAACATTCTGCAGAAAAAAAGCCGAAGGCTAGAAGGTAGTGTAGACTCAACAAATGCAGTCAACTTGAACTTTCACTGTTGAAACATTCTTTTGATAAAAAAAACGTTGACTCCAAAATAACCCCGACAGCAACAATGCAATCGCCACGACAAAACATACCACGGAAAAAAGACTCCCAAAGAGTTAGTCTATCCAAATGCTCTCACGTACATCGTCAAGAATGTTTGAGTGATAGCCCAATTTCCGGTATTATAATCACTAATGTTCACCCCTTTTAAAAAGGTTTCATTCTGTACCCACCTACACATGGAATGTTCCATTTGACCTTCAGGTTCTCTGAGGTCAATCACACAGTTGTTCCAAAGTTTTGATGATTGGCAGGGCATTTCATGACAAGTTTGTAAAGCGGTTGAAACGAATAATGTTGATCGTTGTTATCACAGATACGGGGCATAACAGTCATGTACAACATTTTCTTCCTGTATTCACAGTGAATTGGGTAGACTAGTATTTAGTAAGAAACAAAGATGTCCTGCACAAGTTACATAATGACTATTCATAAATACTGGAGACAGTTTAACCAGGAAAACTCTATGTGACTGACTGATACTATTTAGGAAAACAAGTTGTACATGTATTCCCATTTATAGACCTGTTGAAAAAGTAAGCCAGAACTTTTAAATTAAAAAAAGTTGACCACCAAATTTAGAAAGAAAAAAAAGAGAGGCACACGTGTGCATGGAAAACCTCAAATACAAAATTTCTCCACCAGATCCAGTTTCATTTGCCAATCGTCATGGATATTGTAACAAGCTTACATTTACAGTCTTGTTGGTACACGAGTCCAACAAATAAATCGGAAACCGCATCATAAAAGGAACCCCCATCGGGCAATTTCACACAATCCACGCTGGAATGTGTGCAAAAAGACCCCAATCTGTGTGATTTCTAGAATCGGGAACACCTACTCCAGATTTCCAATATGAAACTCCGGGATATCTTTTGTCAAAGGAAGCCGCAAAGTACCCCCAAGGCAACGGTTTTGACAGCAATTGTCCGTCGCTTGGCACAAACAGAATATGAGATCCAAATATTTGCAAAATGATTTATGGTCAGTTTCCGTATGAAAGCCATTGTGTGTGTAGACTCAACCACTAGTTACACTGGAATGAACCACTGTTTTACATCCATATCTTTTAGTTAATAATTCCTTGAAATGATTTGTACTAATGTTGGACATTGTTGTGGTCTTAAAAGAGTAGCGTTTGCCACATTCATATTTAAGGGCAATAAACTTTACAGGAAGTAAAGATTTTGTTGAGGATTTAGTGATAAAAACCCACTAAATCGGGGTTTGATGCAAAATGTGTTGGCTGTCTGCCAACTTTTGAGTGTTACTTTACAATAGTTTTATGGGTGCAGGAATTTTGTCTCGGTTAATATCCTAGCTAAAGAAAATCTCCTTTTTTGAAATTGGAATTACTTGGTCATTTACTTAACAGTAAACATATTTTTAACCATGTCTCAATTCATTTTTCTTTTGTACAACAGTCATCAGTATACAAGGTCTGATATCCTAGCATGCAAATTTTATGCGACACCACGCATCAGCCAATCGGAGTTGACTTTAGAAGCTGTAACGTCATTTCATCAGAAATGTGGCCTAAGCTGGTGATTGGTCACTTTGGCTGCCATGTTTTTAAAAAACAACGTGTTAGGGAAGACCCAATAAGGCGCCGGCTGAATGGTCAGAATCTTGAGGTCAAGACAGTCTTGTTTAACATCAATCGCCGAATCTGCTCGCATATCATAGACCCTTGTGAAAGGGGATATTCCATAGACTGCCCTCACACATACACACACAAAAGCCATACATAAGATAAATAACATGTACATGTATGATGCTTTGAACTATTCAATCTCAATTTGAAATTTCATTGGACTATTGGATAACCTCGGTCATTGGAGAATCTTAAAGAAGCCTTCACAACAGGAAATTCTTTTCACATCTTTAGAATGCAATTTAGATACAATTCTCAATCCGCTTATTTCTCAAGGATCTCATTCAATTATTAGTCTAGACTAATAAATGGTGTTGTTTATGAGATGTAAGGAAAGTTTGGATTTCACAAACAAACATTTATAGAAGACAGGGAAAAAAAATGATTCAAGGTTTCGAACAAAGAGGTTTTTGCAGGTTTTGTTCACTGCTACACAACAAAATAAACAGAAAAGCGAAAAATCTGTTGCTTTTTTTTTAAACGAGTAAACCTAATAAATAATTTTAACGCAATTCACTTTCAAAATTAATTGAAAAGTGAACTTTTATTTAATGACAATTGTACAGAAAAGGGCATTTTTTTTCAGCGTCCCAGGTTCAAAACCCTTTTAGACGACAAGTGCCATCATTTTTATGTTGTAAGATATTGCTATTTTTGTGTTTTGATCATCAGTTATTTTCTGGAGTCTCTGTTCCTGAAACTAAACCGTTCCTCCATTTCAAGTGCTTCTTTCACATTTTCTCTGTATCTGTTATTCTTGAAACAAACAAAAAAGCCAAATACCAAGCCATCAACGGAATTTATTCATCCATTTAAAAGGAACAGAAAACTGAAACTTCACTCAACACTGATGGTCATTCTAGGAAAAACCAACACAGTAACAAGATTAGGCACAAAAAAAAAATAGTCGGTCTTTGGTCAGACCAAAGTTTCGGGATTGATGCGGCGATGCGTTTTTTGTTTTGTTTTTTTGGTACAGACAAAGTGGGTACTGTTTTGCTTTTCTGTGTCCTTCATCATTTGCCTTGGTGTCCTCCATCATTTGTCTGTGTGCTCTTGTGCTCCTTGGTACGAAAGTTTGAGGCGGTGGGGCAATAAAGGGCGCTGTTGTAGCTACCCCGGAAAATTTGAAAAAAACCCCCAAAGATTGTCGTGCATGATCAAAATCGACGTGCGTGCTGACCAGAGACCAACTGCATATTTTTTGGCCTTATTCAAACTACATGTTTCATATTCAGTGTTTGAGATGACCATGGTTTAACGCTTAAGGTGCCACCTGCTTCAAGAAAATGTAAACAAAAACCTGACCCCTGGTGGCCTGGACAAAAAAATAAGAAACCTGTTCAAAAAAAAAAAAAAGTGAATGGATTTCTAGAAATTCAGCTGCCACAAAGCAAACAGAGCCACCTCTCAAATTAAAGAGAAGCCAAGCAACTAATCACTAATTTATAACAGGTTTTTAAGGTTTAAGCCTGATTGCTAATCATTTAAGCTGATGTTAGCTATTCATGTAACAATTAACCTATTGGCGGGGCAACAATACTCAATTTCAGGCTTAAAGGATCAAGTCAAGCGAGTAAAATAAGCCCTGGGGGGTAATTAGGCGAAGGTGTTTTCTGCCCAGTTGGTCTTGAAAGGATTAGGGAGAAATCTGAACAAATGTAAGGAGGTCGTTTCATGGACAAGGGGCGTGTAAACATCGAGGTGCAAATGAGTTTTACAAAAGAGGGCGTTTTCAATGTCAAAATGTTGGTACAATCATTAGAACCTTGCTCCGCAGTATAATCAGCTACTATGTCTAGATATGATCAAATGTACATATGTATGGTTTCACTAAATGCCAAGATACAATGTATATCACTGTACATGTAGAACAGTTAGACTTGCATTAGTCCATGTAATGATTAGAATGGATTTGTTTTTAATTCACTGTCGGTTACAACTCTAGGTTCTGACACCCCTATGTTCCGACTGCACATATACCTATTCCTATCCCTAACCCTAACCCTTTATAACTGGGAGTAACACAATCTTATGTGCAGGTTGTCGGAACATCAGGTTGTCGGAAGATAGGGGTGTCGGAACACAGGGGTGTTGGAACATAGAGCAGTCACCTTCACTGTCAAATAAACGAACTGTAAAGTATTGTGGCCTTATGGGTATAAATGTCCATGTTCTAGTGGTTTGTCATTTCAAGACAGCGGGTTCGAATCCTGCTGAGGTATTAGGTGCAAGAACATTTGGGCATGGGGCTTTTACTATTTATGGTATTCACAAAATATACATCTGTACCTAATTTCTGTGAGATACACATGTACTTACTTATTACTCATCACAGGAAATCTCGCAGAAGTTGGATTTTGAAACCTAATATCCAAACTATATATAATATTTCCTGATACGAGGATCAAATTGAAAGTTGTCGGATTCAATTTCATATTTCGACTGTTTCAATGCTCAAGATAACCAAACCAGAGGGCTG